TGTTGGGAGTTGAATGAGAAATGCGATGATGGTATCGCCTACAGGCATGTCTACCATGAAACGAATCAAGCTGCTGATTGGTTGGCTCATAGAGCCCATGAAGCTCAGACATCTGACCCAGATTTTGTTTCAATTAATTTTTGTAAGCTTCTTTTGCCTTTTGCTTTTATTTGTTATAGTGATTTGTGGGGACGTGCTATCCCCCCAGTCTTGTGTAGCCCCTATTAGAAAAAAATAGGCATGATTTTAACCAAGGCCATTCATAATGGGGCCAATGAGCTATCCCTCCATTTAAGATAGTGCAATCAGTTGGATGATGGTACACATTGAATTACTGATATCTAACCAACTAAGGATCCATTTGGTTCATAGTCAGAATTGGAATCTTTTAGAATCAGAATCAGAATGGTCTATTCTCCTCATCTATTTGGTTCAGACTGAAATTGGAATCAGAGCTAAAATTGATTGAAATGGATTCTGATTCCATCCAATCAAACAATTAGAATCCAAATCCAAACCCCTATTCCTGGATACCAAAGGGACCCTAACCAATATATTGTGGACTAACCTCATCCACATCAAATTGAACTCTGTATTCAGCCTGTGACATACACCGAAATGATCCATCCATCCACGAAATGAGCACAGTATCGAACACTACCTAAATCTCGAATTAAAGATTTACATGAATCTCTCCCGTCTCCACCTCAGCTGGGTACCATTCCATCAGACGCCATCCAGAGGTGTTAATGAAATTAGGCTTATTCGGTGACTTAGACATTTGAACAACCAACTCTGATGCGATTTAAAATGCCTCATGTTAACTTGTGTGGTTCAGCAAGCGCACAAATCTATTGGCCTTAAAGCTATTTTGTTTGTTTGTGAACAATTTATTATCTAAAACGACTTTTTCCCAACAGACTCCAAGCTCCTGTTTGTTCAAGACCACCTTGATATATCTGTTACTGCTAACCACATCCACAAAATAGTATGGACAAAATGTTGAGTTCAGATTTCTTGTCCATACAAACTCTACCCATGTCTACCCATATAACATTGCAGCCACATATGGAGAACATCTCATTCTCTTACATAGTATTATACAGGGAGAGATGTTCCCGATTCACAAGGATAATATATTGTGAGTAGACGCGGGCATAATTTTCGTGGACAGGAGATCCAGAGTCCAAAATGTGAATGACAGCAGCCAAACATAAGTCTATTGTTCAACAGTAAGCCGTGGCTATTCTAAATTGTTACGAATACATGTCCTATCTATAAACGAGGATGGTTGTATCTCTTGGATTTTAAAGCCCTTGTTAAAGGCATCTCCCAAGAAGATAAGGCTAGCCCAGCTCCAAAGCACCGTTTGGCTCGGCCTGCTGCATTTATGTATTATATATTTAGTGTATTTTATAAATATAAAGAAGTATAAATATATATTTTGTATAGAAAAATTTATGATGCCGAAAAGACATAATATTATAAAGACTTTGACCAATCAAAACCCTGTAAATTTTGATGAAAGCTGGGTGATTGGTTATATATATATATATATTGTATCATGTTCTTCCGGCATGATGATGTAACCTTATTTGATAGGTATATTATATGTCATGTAATATAAGTTGTTATATTTAAAGTTATAGGCCAAGGCCCAACTATAGCCCTTGTGCTAGGTGTTAAGACAGGCTTGGCCCAGCCTAATAACTAGAGTTGTAAATTGGGTCATGTCCCTCGAGGCTTGGCATAGCTTGCCATTGTAGCATGCGGGCTGTGCCGGGCATGGCAAGGAGTTATGGGCCATGTCAGGTTTGAGTTTTCTGGCTCATGGACCGGGATGACATGACACAATAATGTTGGTCGTGTTGGCATGACCCACAGAATGACCCACGACATGGCCCATATATACTATAATAATTATATAATTATATACATATATATGTATATGTATAATTGTATATATAATAATATATAATATATTAATATATTAATTTTTATTTTCAATTTTATTATAGGGTATATTTCTTATGCTACCCTTATGGTTTACCTAATTGACTAACTATACCCTTTCTGTTGAAAATTGGCTGAGACTACCCCTACTGTTTCTCACAATTGACTAACTCTATTATCACTATTAATTTCCGCCAAAACCCATGCGAAATGCCTAAACTACCCTCTGGCTTAAAAAATACAAAGCTCTAAGTCTAAAACAACCCTGTAACTCCTGTTGGGTGAAATTACATGGACCTCTAACCTCCGAGAGTAGATTTTCGCTAGAATCCTAGCAATTATGAAGGCAAAGTTCATTTAGATAAGGCTAGACCAGATGCTCAATAGAGGAATCATTAAGTTGGCTACAATCAACTTTGAGGTTGCGAAGGTAAGGGTTTGGCGGCAACAAGGCCTCAACAAATCGATGATGGAACTATATTTTGAAATAGGGATTCATATTTAAGAAATAAATGGATGCCAGATAAATCTAGGGTAGTTTCTTATTAAGCTCTGGAACAAACAATTTGTAGATATCGAAGCCTTTCCATGATGAAGGATTAGATTACTTACGAGCAGATGGAAACAAGGGAGGAATGAGAGGACATGAGAAGCGTAGGTGCAGCCTTTACTCTTCCTTCTAGTTTGCTTTAGCATGGAAAAGCAGGAAAACCACACCTAGCGGACAAAGCCAATATTTAATGTCTGAGACTGTGGCTTTCTCCAGTGCATACGGTGTAGTTTTCTTCGATGACCTGGTGTTGACGGACTGTGGGAGGAAGATAAAGGGAAAAGAGAGAGATCGGAGGATGAGGGGTGTGCAGGGTAAAGAGGAAGGAGACAACGGTAGTTTTGGGTTTTAAAAATTTTAAATGTCACGTGATGTTACGTGCATACAAATTTAATGGAATATTAACAGATGTTAATGATAAGGGTGGAGTTAGTCAATTGTGAGAGATAGTAGGGGTAATATTAGTCAATTTTCAAACAGTAGGGGTACACTTAGTTAATTAGCTAAACCATAAGAGCAGTTTAAGAAATTTACCCTTTATTATACTATTTTATTCTAATTGTATTGTATTTTTTTTTTAATTTCATCTTATTATTTTATATATAATCAATTGTATACATCAAAATTCATATCAAATAAAATTTTAAGATTGATTTTCATTTTTTTGTCTATTTTGTTAATTTATTTGAAAATTTTCATTATTTTTAAAAAATATGCCTTTCATGGCCCAGCCTAGCCTGACCCACAGCCCAGCCTGGCCCAAGGCTCAGTCGTGGCCCAGTCCGACTTGTGCCTACTTGGGCTCCATGCTGGGCCTATAAAGTATTACAGAGGAGACAAGCATGGCCCATAGACCAGCATGACACAACCCAATTTACACCTCTACCAATAACCTATTATCACCCCTATAAGACATCCCCATCCAGGAGCGATCAGAAATTCACCGGCTAGTACCATATGGGACATGAAAGAATGCTACTTTTCCATTTGGGAAAATGGGTTACAAACTTAAAATAATCAATGAATCGGGAGGTTATGGACCAAATTGGAATAATGCCCCCCATTGTTTCTTATTTCAATCTCAGCACTTCCTTTATTCCCCTCCCCTCCTCTCCCCAATCCCCAAACAACCCATGAGAGAGAAACTATTAGGCTGTGTTTGGTTGCAGTATAAATAAAATTGCACTGATGCAAAATTAAGGTAGTGCAAATGATTTGGTGTGAATTCTAACTTATTTTTATTTCAAAATTTATCTTATTTTGTTTGATTATAATACAAATGAAATAAAATAAGACTTAAAACAGAATGAAGTAAAACCCAATTTGCACTCTCGTACATTTAAACTAGTGCAAATAAAATTGCATTGAACCAATCACAGCCTTATGTTTTTCCCCACTAGATGTTTTTGACGTGTAATGACTTATATAGGTAATAGATCTAAAGTCTAAGACTCTTATATGAATCCGGATTTTGTTCTCACACCGTCACACGTCTTTATAAAACTTTTAGCCATGCATTGCAAACATGTTAATGAAATCCCATCTCCTCTTATATTTGGCTGTGTTTGTACTGTGATTGATATTTGTGAAGGAAAAGGTGGGTCAAGCAGAGAGTTTTGTTTGCATTGTCTACCCTATTTAAGATTTATATGGTTGATCCCATCCATCCATCAAGAGGGAATCTTTCAAAGAGACCACATGTTTAATCTCATAGTCCACGCCAATCCTAATACCCCCACACTGATTTCCTTAACTTATCTACAAAGATGGGCTTATTGTGGACACGTGGTATGGGATTGGTGGCTACAATTTGTCTGATATGATAAGGAAAAGGAGGAGGGCTGGTGGGCTGAAAAATGCCAATTTAGGGCTTCCATCAACGTTCTCTGTGTTACTGTACGTGGATCCTGAGGATGATTTCGTGGGCCCAAGCCCACTACTGCATGTGGCACCTATTCACCTTGGAACTCTTTTGGGCTCTTCTGGAAGATTGTGCTCCATTTGTTGACCGCAAACAAGTCATCTTGACAGGAGCTCTCAACCGTCTGATCTATTTGGAACAGGGGAAACTGAGTCTTTACTCTCTAGTGTTTGGTGGGCTCCACTAAGAATATACCATAGGTGGGTCTGGTTGTCTGGTTCTGAAGTAAAAATAGGCACAACACTCACCGAGGGATCACATAAATAACCTTAATTCTGCAATGGGTCCCATGATAGAGAAAATTCTTGGTCAATGATCAGATGGTGCAACGATGCTGTTCATTTGAACTGATATCTTCTGCTGTGGCCACTGTGGGTCCAGACCCTATGATCTTGCAGTGAGTGGCTGATCGATGGGGACCACACCACAGCCGGACAGCCACGATTCTTCTTTCTCCAAAGCTCCAAACCCACGATGGAACGATCGAGATTCGAAGCGATTCTGTCGTCAAGGCATCGGTGGCCGTTGATGTGCGAGTTTATGCGCACTACACACCCTGCTCATCGTATCGTTGGTTAAAGTAGTCTTCTTCCCTCGTCCCCAAGTTAGAGAGGAAGGGGGACAGAGAAGAACAAAAGGCACACGCGCTGAGAAAACATGGTTTTTATCGGGGGTAAGAGAGTCCGAAGAGACTAAAGAAACAGCAGCTGAGATGGCCAAACACTGGTTTCGTTCATGGAATTTCGCGGGAATATTCGTTGGTTCCGAAGAATTTTGGCGGGAGAACGTTCATGGTGGATGGGCCACGATCATCGTCCTGCTCTTTATCGTCATCTGGCACTCCGCTAGGTCATTTCCCAAGCGTTTCAGATCCTCGTCGTCTCCACAAAATGCGAAAACGACCTTTTCTCCTTCTGGAAATCCGCAAATCAAGTAACTTTATTCCTTCCTGTTCTTCCCCTGAAATTTGTACTTTAATCTCTTATTCTTCCCTAAATTTCCGTACAAGCTCTTGTATTTCGATGGGTATTACAGTACAGGTGAAGCGATATAACTGTTATCAAACCTGAGAATTTTTGGGTTCTCTATTTTTTATGTGCTTTAGCTTCAGTTAGTCTTCGATTGAACTATCGTTCTTCTCACGACTTCCAAATTATCGTCTTCCAAATCCATTTCTAGACGGATTCTTAATTGGGTAATCTGGAAAGTTCTAGATATTTATGCATTTGGAGTCCTGGGATTTGCATCCAGGGGCTGTAATTAGAGAAGAGGCGATAACAGTAATCTGTAGAAAACCTATATATATTTGTTGATGTTAGAGAAGAGGCGATAACAGTGATTTTATAATTCTCATACTTCTTTTTTTTTTGGTAAATAATGTAGGGATATATCTTTCTACTGCAGAGTATCGGAGATTGTATCCGATGATGACTTGAAAATTTTGATAAAAGATTTGGATGGGAGGCTTGATGAGACGGAGAAATGGGAGGATGTCATAGAAAAAAGAAATGAAATGCTATCATATAATGCAAAGTGCTGCAAACCGAAGGTTTGTGCTCTTTTCTGATTACTTTCATGTGTTTTCTTTTGACTTCTGGAATATATAAATATGGAAGATACAGACATGGATTTTTCAAAACTTTAGTATGTTCTTACAAACCGTAGAATTGCCTGTTAAAATGTAAGAATATCCATGTATTTGGAAGGTTTATGGGCATGTTGAGTTCATTTATTTTTCTTCTCTTGTTCTTGCAAGATTAACCGGAAGTGCTAGGTTATTTGGTTCAAGGATTTGAACATTTTAAAAACTTGATTTTCAAGGGATATAGGCATGCCAAGTTGATTTGTCTTTCTTCTTTTGTTCTTGCAAGGTTTTGCGGCACCTTGGAGTGCTAGGTTATTTGTTTCCAGGGTTCAAAATTTTTAAAAACTTGAAAATTGATTCAGTCACTCCGTGGGATTAGAACCGATCTGGGAATTAACTTAAAAGTTGGGTTTGCTCTTGCTTCTTACTTAACCATTTTTTGTCATTGATTATATATTCTTTATTTATTTATTTATTTATTTTCTTTTTTTTTTGGGGGGGGGGCATTAATTCTGTCATCTACATCAAATTGTGCTACCTCTAGGAAAAGATAATTTTGTACTTTTCTCTATGACTACTTTAGCTCTATCTCTGTATTTAGCCATAATTATAATTACCATCAATAGAAATCAATGTATATTATATCTATTTGACTCCAGGGTTGACTTCCATTCCAGACCCTTTATAGGAGTTCAGTCATGCAGTTGTGTATTATTTGAAATTTTAATTAAAAGTTGTAATTGGATGCCAGTACCGAACTAAAGTTGATTCAACTGAGTTCTAGGATGAGTTGAAGGTGCCAACTAGCTTGCTGGTAAAGTATCTATATGAATGTAGCAAAGACCTGGGATTGAGTCCTGCCTTCACCAGGGTTGGATAGGGGGGGGGGTGTGTGTTAAGGGTTTGGACTTTGGAGGAGGGTTACCCCTCTTGTGTAGCCCATTTTCCTTAAGAAAAGGTTCTAGGTTGAGTTGCAAGCTTGTGAATATTCATTTAAAATTTTGTTTTTCTGTTGCTGTTCTTAGGATGGCCCCCTGAAGTATCTGAGTGTAACAATATTTGAGGATTGCACCACAGAATTGGTGAGAGATTTTTACATGGACAATGAATATAGGAAACAGTGGGACAAGACATGGATAGAGCATGAACAATTGCAGATTGATGAATCTAATGGAACAGAAATTGGCCGGTCGGTTAAAAAGTTCCCACTCTTAACTCCAAGAGAGTATGTATTGACTTGGCGGTTGTGGGAAGGGAAAGATAAGACGTTCTACTGTTTTATCAAGGTAAGCACCATTGAAATTCATTGACCTTGAAACTACTTATGTTTAGATTTATTTCATTTTATTTTTGCTATTACCACACACCAGTAGGGGGCCAATGGGCCATTACTTAGTGTAATGGTTAAATCTTGGACTTCCATGCGTGAGAACACAGATTCAAGTCTAAGAGAGGCCACCTTGTGCCAAAAAAAAAGCCAAAGTTTAGGATTGCATCCAGTCTACACTGCCCAAGATCCCAGATAACTGGGGCCAACATTGGGTAGTGTCCTTTTACCATTCATCAATCCGAACAAATTAGATGTCAGAATTATTTATCTCATGTGTGTGTTGGGCAGTACTATTGTTGTCCATAATGGTGGTGATGGTGGTGGTCTTGATTTCAAAACATAGTGGTTATATTTTCTGCAACTTTACTGTTATCAATTTCATTATATTAATGTTTCTGCTCCCTTGTGCCTTCCAAATAAGTAACTGCTCCTTAAACTCATCTTTGATGGCCATGATCAGGAATGTCAGCATGCTTTGGCACCACTTCAGAAGAAGTATGTTCGTGTTGGCTTCTTCAGATCTGGATGGCGAATCAGGAAGGGTAAGTGCCTGACTCAACCTTCTTGATCTTTTTGTGTTGGCTTCTAGTTCAAGTGTCTTGATATCTTTGTATCTTTTGGAGGGAATCCTATTGTTATTTGAATCTTCTGGTTTCAGTACCTGGTAGAAATGCCTGTGAGATCAAAATGGTGCACCAAGAAGATGCTGGATTGAATGTAGAAATGACAAAACTTGTATTTGCCAAGGGCATATGGAGTTATGTTTGTAAAATGGATAGTGCTTTGCGCAAATACTCTCTAAGAAGCTGCCCTCATCCAAGATCATCTCTGACTGCAGTTAATTTTATCCAGAAGGTGAGGACTATTTGGGATTTCCATGTACAACCTTTGGTTTTTATAGGGTACTTACAAAGAAGATAAATAAAAAACTTGCTTATCAGCTAGTTGCAATTAATTACTTATCAAAAAAAATTCAACTTGTTGGAATTGATTCTATTTCAAGTTCAAATTAAACCCATCAAGGCCAGGAAGGAAAATAATAATTTTGTAATTTTCTCATATAACTTGTTTGAAAACCTTCTACCACCATTTCTTTTGAGGTGAAACTATGATTGCAGATGATTCATCTGGAAATCAAGGCTTTTAGTTCCAAGCATATCGTATGTCTATTCTGTCATCCATCTACCTTCAATTGGTTGCTTATTTTCCAACAAGTTATATTCTTATCATTTAGGTCCCGCCTGAGTTTGAAATCATGCCTACGGAGATCCATCCAAACTTTCTGGGAAGCTCCGTTTCTAGTTCCAGCAGCAGGCAGGTTGTTGGTGATGTCAAAGAGAGGAAAATTTCAAGGCCATCAAAGAAATGGATTGCTAATGGCCTACTTCTGCTTGGGGGTGTCATTTGCCTTTGTCGTGGCCACTCTGCTGTTGGTGCAAAACTTGCTGTTGCATGCATCTTGAAGAAGCTTGCGAAGCATAAATCTTCAACAAGTCAAACTGGGCAAAGCCAGGCCGTGCATGACTCGTTATATCGTAACTGATTCTGGGGGCTTAGTGATCTACTACAGATAGTTAATTCATACATCTATAGTATAGATTCAATTTCTCTGCAATTCCTTAATTTCCTTTGTTTTGTATGTATCTGAAATTTTGTATCTATCGAAATAGTAAATAGAAGCAACTATATAATTCATCTTGTTGGGTCCTTGTTTCCTCTTTTTTTTACCCTATTCTTCTGGTTTGAAGCTTGGGATATTTGGATTGTTTCACATGTGTTTCTGGTGTCCCCCTTCTTTTTGGTAGATGCATTAGGGGAGGGAATCTCTGTTTAATACTCTCTCGAACTAAACTGGGTGGTGGGACTACACGACGTAGGGCTTTTGTGAGTAAAGGAGTTTCTGATAATGGCATGGGTGACTTCTCTTTCCTCTTCCCTCAATGCGATCTGTTTCCTTTAGACAGTCGAGGTTCTGCGGTTGCTTCACATCTTTAAATTAATGTAAAATATTAATTGCTAGGCGCAAGCCAAAGAGATGAAAGAATGGAGTAATACCTGTTTGAGTTGCGATTTGTCCGATCAGGGTGGTGGAACTAACTCACCAAGAGCTGCCCAACATAAGCGCCTTAATATTTCCAGGTATTAGAAAGACTTTGTCATGTCTTTTATTAAGCTTATTCTTTTCATCAACTTTGTTATTTTTCTCAAGTAATTATATCACTTAAAAAGACATTTTGTACACCATATTACGTATTAATTTACTGATTGATTTCTTGAGTTTTCAAAAACTGAAACTATTTCTTTGTTTATTTTGGTAATAACATCTCTTCGAGTTTTTTCTCCAAGTTTCCAAAACTCCAATTCCCAACAATACGTATTAGTCGATACAACCTTTTCCCATACACAACTATGATATCCCGTAAACGTGAGAACATATTGTGGGTAATAGATCCAAACCCTTAGTTGTACTTCTACAACTCCCGCTGTGTTGGATTGGATTGATGTAAATCTATGACCAATAAGAGGTTATGAGAGGTGAGGGCACCTCAACCTTAATCGAAAATCTGATTTCATTCGAATTTGAGATTTGACATAATCGAATCAAATTCGGGTAATTCAAATATCTAATCGGTCGAATTTGGATGACTTGATTTGATTCGATAAATATCCAAATTCGATTGATTATTTAATTATTATATATTATATATAAATTTTTAAATATCTTATATAATTTATATATAATAATTAAATTATATAAATAATTTATATACTTTATCTAAATAAAATATTTATTTTATATTTTATTAATTACCTAAAATAATTAATTAATCAAATTCAAATTAAATCAAATATTTAAATATTTAATCAAATTCGATATCCATCAGATATCAATTCAAATTCAGATATCGATTTTTTTAATCGGATTCAAATTTGGGTATTGCTCAAATTCGATCCGTTTACACCCCTATTCCCACGCGTCCTGATCTTCAATTTTAATGACTTACAACCAATCTATTGCAAGTGACGAGGAAAAGACCTAGTTGTTGAGTAACCCAAAAAACATTCAAGGTTGTTGACTATTTTAATTAATGTAAGTGATATTTTTAATAGATAAGTTAAATGTGAGTGGCTTGTGTTATTATTGGTGGTTTTTGTTCCGACGTATATCAATGACCCGTTAAAAACGATAAGTCAAAGTCAAGTGGAAGGAAAAAAAAAAAAAATATCTGCTGCGAGGCCACATAAGCCTAGCGACGTTTATGAATTGCAAATTACCCACAAATCATCATACACTAATGTTCCGTGTGTCACTCATTATATTGCACTTTTGATACATTACCTTCTTAATTTTAGGGAGTGTTTGTTTGACACAGTAGTTTGAATTGATTAATACAAATTGTTATGTTTACTTAAAGCATCAAGTTAATAGAAATGACATTCATATAATTAATTTGTATTGATCAATCCAAAGGCCATTGTACCAACTCCCCTCCCTTAGTTGAGGGGGTGTCCATCATGAATTTGGGCAGCTAAAAACCACTGAACCATTAACCCGACAGTTGACCAGATCCTAGATCGATGTTTGATGGTTTTGTTCATAAAATTAATCACTCGAGATATGCTGGTTTGGAAATTGGAATCCATTGCTTGATTCTCAACAGAAACTCACTACCCAATTAATGGAAATATTTAGAAAATAAAAATTAAAATAATTTTCTTAAAGTTTTAAAAGTAGCAAAAAAATTGTAAAACTAGCTAGTAAAATAATAGAGAAGGATGGAGAGACTAATATCAACAACTGCATTATATGTATAATAAATAGATAGATAGATCGATAGATAGATGCTTGATACATTATTACATTTAAGCTATATTTGGTTTGAAGGAAAAACTAGGAAAAGGTAAAAAACCTTTTACAAACTTTGTATAGATTTTCATACTTTTCCCTTCCTTTTCTACCTTTTTCTTAGAACCAAACATAGCCTTAAGATAGTTGATTATCTCAAATTAATAACATAATATGACATCTTGGGAGTTTATCATGCTCCCATCAAATGCTTCCAACAAGCCATTCTCAAGCATTTTATTGATAGCAGATCCCTACGTACACTAATTATCTTGTAGTCACTTAGCATTTATGACTGGTGTTGGYTTGTTATTAATAATCCCAAAGCTTGCTACACAGCAATGGCGTTCAGCTAAACCGAATTTCTTCAATTCTGCTCATTCTGCTGGGGTGAAGGTGAATCTTTCCTTCCAAACTTTGGAATTGAGAAGGAAGATCCAATCCTAATTCGGGTGAGATGAAGTGACTGTACTAAATCGAGATCAGATTGGCACTCCACAAACGCTCAATAAGCACATTTAAGCACTGTTTTCAAAACTGGACCGTATCCGAAAAACTGGGAATCGGTCACCTGATTGGTTCTCTTTTCTTCCAAAACCGCTATTTCTTCCAAAATCGTTGATTTTGGTCAACAAACCGCTGAACAGCTCAGTTAACCATTCGAACCATTTGAACGGTTTTGACCATTTTTTAATTTTTAATTTTTTTAGTTTTTTTGTCAGAATGGGCTGGCTATTTGGGTCAAATGGTTGGACCATTTGAATCGGTAATCGGGCCCCTGACTGATTCGATCACCAGTTCGCTTTTAAAAACCATGCATTTAAGCGTGCATTTAGAACATCTCCTATACTTATCATTGGGAGATGTTCCCAATACACAGATGAGCCGTGCAGTGGAACACTTGTGGGGTGTCAATCTGATCTTGACTAAATCATATGAATTGAATAACCTTGAAGAATATGCCTTCTTGAGTCCCATGAGTTTAGATCTGCGCCCCATTAGGGGGCACCCCACAATGTCCTACAGCACATCCCCGCCGTGTATTGGAAAACTTCCAATGATGACATCATCATTTCTGATATTATCATCGAGAGATGTTTCCAATACATAGCGGAGATGTACTGTGGGACTCTCCCTTGTGGGATGTGGATGTAAACTCGAATCCCATGTCCACGGGTGAGGAGGACATTAAAACAGATGACAGGTCTGAATCTATCAAAAATCTTCACAAAATGCATCCCACAAGGCCACAAGTGCTCCACCTTCACGTTCAACCGTACATCAAAAATAACGTAATCCTATGGTTGAGCAAATAAAAAAAGAATACCCTACTATTTGAAAATAACTTAAAGACCCTTAGGTTGCGTTAATTTGCTTGCAATATAAGTCCGCATAAATACCCTTTTTTCAGTTCTAACTTATTTTTGTCCTATTCCTGTTTGTTTTAAATTGATGCAAAAGCTGTACAGTGTTCTCTTTCCCATTCGATCAACTCGATATTCAAAAAATACAAATTTGTACCCAAAAAATGCGTACAGTAATGCATTCTTCTTCATTACATTTCTGTATTTCAAATAAATACTTACAAATCTAAATCAAATACAACCTTAAGGTTCATTTTAGAAAGAGTTCAAATATAAATATGTACAGTACAAATACATATAAAATAATACAAAAATATGAGATTTAGCATTCTGTAAATTTGGAAGGAGTACAAATGCAAATTTATAGAGTGCAAAGCCTTGTATTTTGTATTATTTTGTATGTATTTGCACTGTATATATTTGTATTTGTATTCTTTCCAAATCAAGCCTAAGATTTTTGACAATGGACAAAATCCTCTCCTATCATTAATGCATCGTTATAGTCCGTTTGGTTGTCACGTGACTTATATTATTTTTTTAATTTCAAAATTATCCTTTGCGATCAATTTTACCCTTCAGTGTTCTTTAAATTTTCAAAATAAAACCTAATAGTATGAAGAGACTTCTTTATATAGAAGTGCTTCTAGAATCTGAGTAGTTTTGAGTGACAGAGAAAACCGAAACCAAGCCGACCTAATAGAGGGAGAAGGCCCTTCCAAGAAAATCCTCTCTCCTCTGTAATCTCCATCAAGGTTTTAAAAACTAAATCGGACATGGAACCATTTTGACCACTGGTTCCTGGGTCAAATGGTCTGATTGTGTAGTTTGCATGGATGACCTGCTTTGATTTAAAAAAAAAAATTAAAATAGAAAATGGCTAAAAATTGTTGTTTGGGTCAACTGGTTGACGGTTTGACCAAGTGGATCCGCTGGCCACTAACCAAATCAATAGTTTTTTGGCACATTGGGTGAAACAGAACTAGTTGCCTGACCAGTTCCTGGGTCAACAGGTCTGTTCCGGTTTTCAAAACCATGATCTTCGTAGTCTGTGGGTTTCTCTTCCAACGAGGAATTGAAGGCTGGAACTGGCCAGTTTAAGATTCATTTCTTCATCTTACTTGATTTTTGGTTTTCTTTTCTTCTTCTTATTGTTGGTTCTTAGTTCTCACGGTTATCTCTAGTTAGGGGTCCTCCTGGTTCAGTTAACCGAACTGTGGGATGTTTTTTTGAACTGAACTGGTATTACCGTTTTTTGGAAAATCGGTAGCTGAAACCAAACTGAAGTTAGTTGATTAACCAATTGACCAGTTCGGTTCGTCAATTTTTTGGTTTTTTGATTTTTACAATATATATTATATGAATATATATAATAAAAAATTATAAATATATATATATATATATTTATAAACTGTGATTAGATCACATCCCACGCTTTGTCTCATTTATCAAGTGTAGTAATCTATAATTCATAACTATAACAAATATATACAAAACTG